GGGAAGAGACCGCTGGGGAGACCTAGACGTAGATGGGAGGATAATATCAGGCGGGAGGAAGCCTGAGGGGAAAAGACCTCTGGGGAGACCTAGACGTAGATGGTAAGATAGTCTCAGGCGGGAGGAAGCCTGAGGGGAAAAGACCTCTGGGAAGACCTAGACGTAGATGGGAGGATAATCTCAGGCGGGATCTATGGGAGATCAGGGAAAACTTATTTATGTTAATATTATCTTTTGATTTTCTTACTTAGTTCTCGTACCACTCAACATTGGCTCGCGTACTACCAGTGTACACGTGCCATAGGTTGAGAAATCCTGCTCTAACGCAGCGTTGCCAAATAAACCGCAAATAAATCCATGAAAAAACAGAACATATCTGTCTTCTGGGTTGTAGTAGCGTAGAAGTTCACCATAGTTTCAGAGGTCCTTGCTGCGTCCATCATCAGGGCGAGAATTCTAAAGAAGGAATTTCGCTATCGTTCGTCGTTTTCTACATAATACTCGCTCCATCCTTTAGACTCACGTGTGACCATCAGCCAGCCGATAGGTCAGCTTTAGTGCCCAGAATATCATTGCACCTCTGAATGAAATGACCCTTACGTACTCTGACCAGAATGGCGTTTTCAGTCCACGTTCGCGGTGTAGACGATGCTCGAACGCGGTGTTCGTCGAATTCCGCTTGTCCGCGGTTAAAAAGATCGTTACTGAAAACTTCGTGAATTTTTCCTGGGCGTGATCAGACGACAATCGGAAGTCACGAAATAGCACGCGACCGACAATTTGTAATTTTCGATTAAATTTAATATAAGATGACATAGGAGACATAGAAACGAACTTATCGACTGATTTTGGCATGAACATGAACACGGACGTTTCGTGAAGGTGTAAAGTCACTCTAATTTATGTGAACCATACGAGCAAAATATTAATTGTACGCACTGAACAGATTCTGTCCTCTTTCCGTCTCGAGACCCGAGTTTTAAACAGCCCTCCACAACGACACCTGCACTAATGCTACTTAAAATGAGAAACTTACTTAAAAAAATTAATTTAATTATTTACCAGCTGTGTGGTATAGATAACATCTAATTTACCGGCAGAGCGGCTGGCCATGTCGAGTCGAAGGTAAGATACCGACGTTTCGGCGGAACATACCATCTTCATCTTCGCGGCTGAATATCATAACTCTTTCTCCCTACTTATTCAAGATCCATTTTAATAATATCCTCCAGTCTACCCCTCGTCTCTTCCCCTCAGGTTCTACGACTGCCAGTTCGCGTGTTCCACCCCTCGTCTGTCCACGCGAACTTTCCCAAATTCTCCACTTTAAAAGTTCAAGTTATCTCGCGACGCGTCTTCCCATGTTGGACACCCCTTTTCTGGCATTCTGACCAACGCAAATGTAAATTATTAAAGTAGGTCACGGCCACTGTTGTTATTGTCCATTCCAATCCTTCCCTATCATTCTAGCATCGTCATGATTTACAGAAAGTAAACAAACACTAGATGGTTAGATAATATAACAGACTTTGCTTCGCTAATCTCAGATACAGGGTGTTCGCAAATAATCCCTGATGTTTGAAATGTAAATACTAACAATGAATTACGGTATTACAATATTTAACGTGTTTCATTAACACGTGTTATTGAGAAGAACTGTAACATTGCTAGAATACTTCAGAACTTATAAAATATTTTGATTAATGTTAACGATTAAACATATTCGCACTTATGGTTCACTAAATTTAATTAATAAGCGTATTGCGCTGTGTAAATTTTTTTTTTGGGATTATAGTCACACAATTCCATGCTTCGCGCTAAATAACCCTGTTGTCGACTAGATTGGTGAATACATCTTCATGGGGATTATCCCACAGGTTGTGCAAGTGTGGTTGGGGATTCCCCAATCGGGGAATCCAAACCCAGACACATTTCAACCAAAATTTACATACGACGAAAATTTTTTGCTAAAACTCCCCAGGATTGAATTTTATGAAAATACATTCAGCGAGACCCGATCTATTATTACTCTGACGGACGGACAGACAGGTATGCGGACATGACGGAACTGATAGCTAAGATTAGCAACTTTCAGCAGTGAACGCGCCTAGGAACTTCACAGAATCCGAACTACGGTCTACGTCAAATGTTTTAATGACGCTGAAACTTTTTCGGTTTCAAGTACTAGTTGTTATAGAAGGTGGAGGGCAATGTTTATATTTATTAAAGAATGTTTTTATGGGATTACAGTGAAATTAACAGGCTGTACTAACACGCTTTATATTTAGTGGGCTTAAGTTGTCAACATGTTTCACGCAAATCGAAACGCGGGGACACAGGAACACACATCGATACCAGTTCTGTGTAAAATGTTACTAAATGAACAGAATTGAAAGGTATGCAGACATTCCCTAGATGGGGATCAGTCAATAGACGCAGCGAAGTGTTAGGTCAGTGTGAATCAGTGGCAATTCCACGGTTGCCAACCAAACCACAGCTCAGTTTGGTATTTTAGAAGCGAATTTGAAAGGGAGACACAAACTTCTTTAAATTAATACGTCGATAAACTCGAAATGACACAATTTCGTGGTCTTAATTTAACTGGGAGCTGAGTAAAACGAATAAAAATCAGTTTTAGATAAGTATCGTGACCTTTGTCAGAAACCTTTGAAGAAAACAAATGTTAATTGTAAGACTTGAGGTTTTCGCAGCGGCGAGTATGAAGATTTCTGTCTTCTGGGTTCTTGCGCTGTGTAGTCTGGTCGATGTTAACCAACGTTTCAGTCATCAGGCCCTCATTTTCGTCCAGTACCCGAGAAAAAGAGGGCAGAGGACTTTTCCTCTAGCCTCTGCGTCCAGACCGACTCTGGGTCCCACCCAGCCTCCTCTACAATGGGTACCGGGGTCCTTTCCCGGGGGTAAAGCCGGCCGGGGCGTGATGCTGACCACTCACCCCCACCTAGTGCCGAGGTCAAGGAAGAGAGGAGCTATACCTCCACTCCCCCCAAGCGCCTACATGGCGTATAGTAGGACAAACTTTACTTTACTTCTACCCGAGAAAAAGAATACTGGACCCAGTTGCGTCACATGGCACTTGGACGATTGTTGATCCGAGGTGGTGAAGGTGGTCCAGTGTCTCTCAGAAATGAGATGGCGATGCTCGCGGTGGTGGGGAGCGTTTGCGAAGGGAGGGGGTTGAAGGAAAGTGGAGGGGGCGAGGGTTGAAGCGTGCTCACATCAGTGTGGGGATGGAAGGGAGGGGGCAGTTGTATTATTGGTGTAGGTTAGGGGCTGCAGTATAGTACGAAGATCTGTCAGGAGGAGCGGACAGAGTGCGCAATCCGTCACTTGACAGACAGACAGACGGACGGGCGTGCAATGGCACTGTCTTTACAAACGGTGTCTGCTTCAGGTAATTAGTGTTTCTTTGTGGATGTGTGTGTGTGGGGGTGTGTGTTCGTGAGATGTGCCCTTATCACGTGACAGCGCTGATATTACGACTTAAGTAGACGAACGACTCGAGGATGCAAATGACGATGCCTTTGCTGTAGAAGAGCGACGAGGTAACGTAGTAAGTACCCTGACCGACCGCGGTTAGCGCTTTCGGTCGTGTCAACTCGACCGTCAGAATGAAAAAAATAGACTTGAAATATTTCATTTCTTTTCTGTGCTCTTGATTTTACATGTTAATGTCGGAATAATACCTCAAACAGGGCACAACCGTCTCCTTCCACACCCCTGTCTATTCCCTAATCAAGGCCACCTTCGAATGTCATTCGACGTAGTTGATACAGCATCCTTAAATATAAATAAATCAATATCCCCGCTTATCTCCTTAAAAAAACATAATAAATTAGTATTTTTTTAAAAATTTTATGTTTAAAATATGTGTATCTGATATCAGATCGTGAAGTTATTCCTTCGAAAATTACATGCTAATCGATTAAAAGCCGAATAATTTTTTTTTAAAAATGCATACAACTTTGATAAGAATCGAAATATCGAAAGAAAATCTTATCTGTGAGATCTCATTACGATTAAATTAATTTTTAAGAAAAATTAACCTCACAACATACCGAGAACTGTGACCGAATCTTTAAAATATTATATTACGATTAATGCCATAAACCGACTATTTTCGTCACTTCCTTTTTGATACTCGACGACTGATTACCCAGCGATAATTGAAACAAAAATAAATGGTTGTTGTGAGAACGTCTCTCGCGTGGAGACAACGCGGTTGCTAATGCAGTCGACCGGTCGGTGTTCCAAGCGAGACCTGGCAAGGAAGCCTCCCGTTTCGACCGAAGACTTAGAGACGCGACGCTTGGCTGTCTTATTCGTAGGAATACTTTTAACTGATTATTTCTATGGCATTTTCACGTATACATAAGAGATCAGCGCATTGATAACTTCATATTCTAATGTTCTCTGCTTTTCGACGTCAATTCATCGGAAACATCGGCGATGTGTTTTTCAAAACCAAGTCACATCACCAGGATCTACCTTTGGCCCCCAAGACTTCGGGGTGTTTCTACATCAGTCTGCAAATATCTGTCCAAAATAACAAGATTTTTCCGTCTTTCTGTATTTCTAACACGCGAAAACACGACGAGGTTAATAAAATTACTTGTATCACACAAAAAACTGTATCCCAATTACTTTTTAATATAACTGCCGACTTACGTAGTCAACACGGTCAAGTTATTTGTGAAATCTTTTATATTTCATGATCGATGACTGCGTAATTATACGTAAAATTCAATGTGAAGCTGTTTCACATATTTTACGCGATATTTAAAATAAATTTTGTGTTCGTGGGACGGCACGAAAGTTATTTTGTTGCCATATAAACCTGGATTTCTTACTGTGTAGACGCAAATAATTCCTAAGTGAGTTTAAACAATTTACAACAATTAAAAATGAACACGAAAGCTAATTACGTGGCTGTAGGATTTGGTAACGGCATTATAAGGAAGATTTTATTCCGGACAAAATTCTCACATCTCGCGTAATCACCATCATTCATATATTATCGCCAACAGCGATTCAATTATTACGTCTTTAAATTTATATCTTATGGCATATCGAAAAAAATTTACTTACCAGAAGAAAAATCAATATAAAGAGACGAAAATTTGGATGTCTCTTACATCTTTAATTAAAGCTACTAATTAAATTAAATTGAGTTAAGTTCCTTTATTACTGTGTTCGCTAACAGCAAAGAGTTTATAACAGTCTAAACGCTAATACAAATAAACTAATCACATTAGACGCTTCCCTCGTATAATGAATGGATTCCTCAGATGACGCAGAGTTTAAGCTAAAAATGTGCGGACGCCATTTGCGGCAATGACGCACCTAGTGAATCGTAAACAATGAAATCACGAAATTCTCTGTTTGCATTGTAGGCACACGACACCAGTAGCAGTGCGCAAAATATGTCCAAAGTTCACTCTGAGAGTAAGAAATATAGCATCGAGACGGTGTCGTATAGAATAAAGTGTTAACAAATTATCGCAGAATGATCTGATATAAAAGTGCAAGACTTAAAAAGGTTAATATTCCACTACAAAAATTTTCTGATAAAATCACGAATTTCATCCGGTCCTAAGCATCAGAAATTATTATAACGGCAACAAAATACACACTCCCCCCCCCACCCCCCGATTTACGAGCGTTAATCCTTGCGATGAAGAGTGTTTTACGTCCGAAATTCTTAAATCGAAAATGAAATTCCAATTAATTTTAAATGTTAAAACACAAAATATCACCAGTATATTCTCCACATATTAGAGCAATTTAACCCTATAGAGCAGTAGTATTCAACCTGGGGTACGCGAAGCCATCTTAGGGGGTACGTGAGATTTAAATATATATATATTATTTTATGATAAACACTGAATAATCAGTAATGTAATTTATTTAATTGATTTTAGATGTAGATTATATACTATGTATAACTTGAATTATACACCAACAACTTTGGGGGTACAAAGTCGAAGAGAAATTATATCTGGGGGCACGCGAACAAAAAAGGTTGAATACCACTGTTTTAGAGCACTGAAATGTCTACATTGTACACGCTTTACTGTATTTATAGTATGGGCATTAGAATTTACGTAAAGAAGGAAAAATTAGTTGCATGTATGTTAATGTGTAATTTCTGTACGTGTAAGAGTTTTAAAGAATTAATGGTAATAAATTAATTGGTTCGTTATAGCTCAAACAATGTTTATAAATAGAAAAATATATAAGGTATATATTTAAACGGTTCGTTGTAACGAAAATTCGGAAGTCGAGTGATGGGTGTTTAGGCTTAACTGAAAGTTTTGCCGATAAACTATTAATTAATCTAACAACTAATCTTGCGACACCCAATGACGCAAACAATTATTTGTGGAAAGCTTGAGGGAAAGGAGCCACGAAAGAACATTCAGCGGAGACTTATGAAATGTTATAAACAATAGATCCACCGTTTGAATAAAAATTTTCTTGGATATTATCCATCGTCTAGTAAATAAAATATAAAACGTAAAACGACGTTTCGGAGATGGGGCCCTATCTCCGTCTTCAGGTTCCTACTCAGTTGGGCCTACTAGTTAGAGATACAGCCCCATCTCCGAAACGTCGTTTTACGTCTTATTTACTAGACGACGGATAATATCCAACAAATTTTTTATTCAAATGACTCATCACCATCGTCAAGAACTTTTAGATTTGAAATAGATTCATCGTTTATATGAACTGTCAGAAATGTCACAGGTCAGCTTTCGTATAAACTAAAAATTATTCGACATTCGAAACATTGCCAGATATCAGGTATATCAGCTTGCGTTTACACCAGGAGATAATATAAAACATGCTCGAGACTGTTATTTCATTAATTAATTAACCATTTGGAGCAGAGGCTCGTTCAAATAATATTTAAGAATTCAGTCCGTACCGCGAAGAAAACACATCTCTTCACCATTACAAAGATCAACTCGTTAACGCTGTTTAAGGAAATAATATAATTTATTCTGATAATTAATTAACCATTTAGAGCAGAGACTCGTTCAAATAATATTTAAGAATTCAGTCCGTACCGCGAAGAAAACACATCTCTTCACCATTACAAAGATCAACTCGTTAACGCTGTTTAAGGAAATAATATAATTTATTCTGATAATTAATTAACCATTTAGAGCAGAGACTCGTTCAAATAATATTTAAGAATTCAGTCCGTACCGCGAAGAAAACACATCTCTTCACCATTACAAAGATCAACTCGTTAACGCTGTTTAAGGAAATAATATAATTTATTCTGATAATTAATTAACCATTTAGAGCAGAGACTCGTTCAAATAATATTTAAGAATTCAGTCCGTACCGCGAAGAAAACACATCTCTTCACCATTACAAAGATCAACTCGTTAACGCTGTTTAAGGAAATAATATAATTTATTCTGATAATTAATTAACCATTTAGAGCAGAGACTCGTTCAAATAATATTTAAGAATTCAGTCCGTACCGCGAAGAAAACACATCTCTTCACCATTACAAAGATCAACTCGTTAACGCTGTTTAAGGAAATAATATAATTTATTCTGATAATTAATTAACCATTTAGAGCAGAGACTCGTTCAAATAATATTTAAGAATTCAGTCCGTACCGCGAAGAAAACACATCTCTTCACCATTACAAAGATCAACTCGTTAACGCTGTTTAAGGAAATAATATAATTTATTCTGATAATTAATTAACCATTTAGAGCAGAGACTCGTTCAAATAATATTTAAGAATTCAGTCCGTACCGCGAAGAAAACACATCTCTTCACCATTACAAAGATCAACTCGTTAACGCTGTTTAAGGAAATAATATAATTTATTCTGATAATTAATTAACCATTTAGAGCAGAGACTCGTTCAAATAATATTTAAGAATTCAGTCCGTACCGCGAAGAAAACACATCTCTTCACCATTACAAAGATCAACTCGTTAACGCTGTTTAAGGAAATAATATAATTTATTCTGATAATTAATTAACCATTTAGAGCAGAGACTCGTTCAAATAATATTTAAGAATTCAGTCCGTACCGCGAAGAAAACACATCTCTTCACCATTACAAAGATCAACTCGTTAACGCTGTTTAAGGAAATAATATAATTTATTCTGATAATTAATTAACCATTTAGAGCAGAGACTCGTTCAAATAATATTTAAGAATTCAGTCCGTACCGCGAAGAAAACACATCTCTTCACCATTACAAAGATCAACTCGTTAACGCTGTTTAAGGAAATAATATAATTTATTCTGATAATTAATTAACCATTTAGAGCAGAGACTCGTTCAAATAATATTTAAGAATTCAGTCCGTACCGCGAAGAAAACACATCTCTTCACCATTACAAAGATCAACTCGTTAACGCTGTTTAAGGAAATAATATAATTTATTCTGATAATTAATTAACCATTTAGAGCAGAGACTCGTTCAAATAATATTTAAGAATTCAGTCCGTACCGCGAAGAAAACACATCTCTTCACCATTACAAAGATCAACTCGTTAACGCTGTTTAAGGAAATAATATAATTTATTCTGATAATTAATTAACCATTTAGAGCAGAGACTCGTTCAAATAATATTTAAGAATTCAGTCCGTACCGCGAAGAAAACACATCTCTTCACCATTACAAAGATCAACTCGTTAACGCTGTTTAAGGAAATAATATAATTTATTCTGATAATTAATTAACCATTTAGAGCAGAGACTCGTTCAAATAATATTTAAGAATTCAGTCCGTACCGCGAAGAAAACACATCTCTTCACCATTACAAAGATCAACTCGTTAACGCTGTTTAAGGAAATAATATAATTTATTCTGATAATTAATTAACCATTTAGAGCAGAGACTCGTTCAAATAATATTTAAGAATCCAGTCCGTACCGCGAAGAATTTTGAACACTGATTTGACCGCGAAGTGAAAGAGTTAGTTAGTTTGTTTGTTTGTTTGTTGGTCTGTTTCCTGGTTAAAGTTTCTTTACGTTTCAGTAGCTCAGACAATGCAGCGTCGAAAACGAAGATGACATTGAATAATGAATTGGAAAGAATGTGGAAGGAAGCGGTCGTGGCCTGATTTAAGGCACTATTATCCCTGGAGGGACCGAATAAATAAATTATAATATAGAATATAATCGGAATAATTTACACCAAACTGTCCTACCGTAATCAGTCACTTTGCATGGCGTACATCGACCCTGCATATAGGGGCAGCAGGTTCTTATGAACAGTTGGTAGTCATCTATAAACTAAAAAGATTTATAAAAATGCGCCGCGATTTTCCAAAAGAACCGCAAATGTTAACACTTTTTTTTACGTTTTTGAATCTTTTGAGTGAATCAGAATGTTAACTAACTGCGTTGTGTACCTGCCGCCTCGACTTTCCGTGTTTTCAATCACGCAATACTTGACTAAGTGATAACGGCTTCGTAAAAGTTCTCTTCGATTCAAGACATCGGTAAATAAAAAAGTTACAGGGCAAAGTCCTCCTCGAAAACCTAATAGTCGCTCAGCTGGTCAACAAATTCCCACCGGTGTCTCACGTGTTCGAGCCTGATTAATCCAATCGTTATCCCAACTTTTTAATTTTAAAACGAGCCTAATGTGACTTAATTATCTGTTTGTTTTGCTAAGTATCTTGCTTACGTGAGAAATCTGGTGGGCTTCGCATTTGTATTAATGGTAAGCCAGGTACACGCACATTAAAATAAAAATATCAGTTATTTATGCTTTAAATATTTTATTACTTTTGGGACATCCAAATTGTTACCTGACCCAACTTTCTTGTAGGAGAAACAGTAATGTTTATCATCTTCGGTATCAAAACCCGCAGATGGAGGCAACCTGGCCCCGAATTTAAAAAAAATATATATAATTTTCATGTTATTTTCTGATGTATCCCATATTTAAAGTTTCACTTTCAAAGAGGCGTCTCCATTACAATTAATGTTCTGTTCTTAAGGTAACAGATGGATTGTTCCGTAATTAACCTTTCATTTGGGGTTCGGAATGACGTTTCGGAAATGGATAATAGAAGGCACTTCCAGAATGTATTCTTCCCTTAATATATGATGAGCCAAAACAAGGCAAAAGATAAAATATTATATTTTATTTCAATAACCGCGACACGAACCAAGAACCTCACAGTACATCATAGTTATATATGTCTTTTCACATTTAAAGACATTATATTTTTTTATAAAACGTTTTATTCATAGGGAATTTGTGTTTTAAAGTACAACAGTTGGCCAACCTGAAGAAACAATTCGGAACGCCTAGGTGAGGATGGGAGGATAATATTAAAGTGAATGTTATAGAAAAAAGGTGTGGGAGGAGAAGACTGGATTCATCTGTTAGACTTATGGCGGATTCTTACAAACAAAGGAGATTTGTTGACCAGCTGAGTGACTGTCAGCTTCTCAACAGTGACACAACTTCAAAGAGTTAGTACTGGCTTCTGAATGTTTGTTACGTACGTTGATAATATTCCTGGTTTTGTAAATTGATAGTCATTTAAAATGGACAAATTGTATTGAAGAACTGATACCTAAGTTAAATGGAGCATTCTGTGGAGTTCGAACCATGTTGCATGTCAGCAACAATGACACTTATTTTGCCAGTTTCCACTCCAATGAAGTATAGAATAATTTGGAGAGTGGGTGGTAATTAACATAAAAACAAAAAAGATATTCACTTGACAAAGGAAAATTCTCACATTAATGGCCGGTGACAAACTACAAACAAATTTGAGTAAAAGTCTTTTTAAAAGATTAGAGATTTTATCTGTTCCATGTTCTCAACAATGAACTTCATTCTAAATAACTGAGAACATTTTCAAATTGATCCTGCCATAGAAAGTGCCAACACAAGGAATAACAATCAGTTTCTTCACAGACCAATTGTTGCCAACCTCTCATCATTCAGGCATCAACATTTTCTACAGTTCACCATCTTGTTTCACGAGTCTTGTGAATACAAATTCACAATTTAAAGTAGCATTAGAAAGGAACTTAAATACACAATCCTTGATGAATTTCTAATGTTCATAAACAAAGTCATCAAGGTATTCTTGTCTTCAGGATGTATATATTTCCTAATTTGTTTAAAAGTTAATATAAGAGCATTTGGGGTATCAAGAAGTCTTCACTACATGAATAATTATTCTTCCTATGGGCATTTAAGCACTAAATGTTATCATAATGTCTACAGTTTGTCATTTCAGGCCAAGGCCCTGAGTAAAATGACAAACTTCCAGTCTCCTCATCAACAATTATTATGATGTTTGTCTATAAAGATTACAAAAGCTGGAATTTTATCATGCACAGAACATAACCTTCCCAGTAAGAACACACTGAAATAATCATCTTAAGAATACAGTAAAAGTTAACTTCATCATAATAGAGTTTTACAAGCATTAAATAGAGGATTACCAAATAAACACATCGACTGACAAACAAAAATACTTTGTTACCTGAGTGTACTGATTCCATACACAAACATAACGTGTCATTTAAGCCAGACTTAGCTGCATTGTTTTCCAATAAAACAAGCAACATTCATTGGAAGCAATTAGTATAAATTACGACTTACCTACAAAGTCTTCGCTGGATATCTGTGTAAATAAACAGATTATACAACTTTGTCTGCAATTGTTGGTAAACTGACACTATAAATCCGTAAGAGAAACAACAGAAAACACATTTTTTGCACAGAAACCTTATAAAACACTTATCGTCCACACGCCATCTTGAACTGAAGCTGAGTACCAACATGACTACAATTAAGGTACGAAATTTAAACTCATTCGTTAATAACACAGATGTCATTTTACGACAGTATATATACCCTAATTAGTTAGTACATAAATATTAAATTACAGACGAAGTTGTGTGGTTTGACGGGAACTCTCCGTATTGTTAAATGTTAGTTTATAATGCACATAATTTATTAAAAAGCTGTCATGAAAGTTCTGATCACACAGGGTGTTTGAATTGCTAAGCAACGTTCCAAAAAGCTTATCAATAGTACAAACACTTGCAAATCGAAGCAGCCTAATGAAAACGTTTCCTTATCCCACCACATCGAAAGTCGATAATCGTTTTATCGTTTAATCGATTTAGACGTGTCCCCGATCTGGAGACAGTCGATAGAAGCATTTCGTGTGTTTCACAGACATAGACATACGCTTTCTTATAAATATCAAGACGTAAACGTAAAGTTATTAGTAATTAATGCTGACACGATGTCCTGAAGTCTAGGACGATTTCTGAATTCTATTTATATTTATGGTTTGTTTAAAGACGCTTTTTCAGTTCATCAGACAATATGGCGTCGAATAATGAACTAGAAACGATGTGGACATCAAATGATACTGATGCTGGGTACAGCCCACCTTTCGTCGTTAGCGGGGGGAGGAGGGGGCCTTTACGTTCTTGAAATCCCAAATCGCGAACGTCAAAACCGCGTTGCGCGAATTTCAAACCTTATGGGAAAAATGGGGTTAGGGGAACCAAAGACACTCGAAACATTACGATAATATGAATAATTAATAAACATGATAGATTAGTGTTTCTGTCTATTGGGACGCTGTTCAACGACGAGTTCGAGACATTTTAGTGTAAGAAGGACCTACGTGACGTCGCGTGATGAACGGCTTTGGAACGCCGTACTTCAGAGCGTTCTAATGCGAGGCATAAAACATTTTTACGGTGAAGGGTTGTTAGCCCTACGCCCAACCCCTCCCAAGCTGGAGGACCACCCCTTATCGGCTGTCTGCGCCGCCTTTGGAAGCCTCCTATTGAAAATTGTACCAATGATTACTCGTACTTCTTGCAAATTGTGATTTTTCAAACCAAGATCATCCTCAAAACAACACGTATCTGCATTTCCTTATTTGACAACTTTGAAGCACAAAATCTAGGCCGTCTGAATCCACGTTGATTCACGAAGAATCAGTTTTCCGATAAACAATTGAACAATGTTCAGAAATCAAAGCATCTGATGGAACGCAGTTTGCACAGATAAATACGTCGCTTTTGAAACAGAAGACTAATTCAGAAATAACAGACGATGGAAATCCCGTCTCGGACTTTCACTCGCGCGTGTTTTGGCGACGAGGAGACAAATATGTTTTGCTCATCAGCTGTTACCTTAGCAACAGTCGAATTAAAAGGAAGGGCTGCCTTAGTCTGACATTGCAGTACCCAAGGAACAAGAAAACTTATTCTGAATTCTGTCTGCAAAGGCAATTATTTCCTTAAACAGCGTTAACCAGTTAATCTTTGTAATGGTGAAGAGATGTGTTTACTTCGCGGTACGAACTGGATTCTTAAATATTATTTAAACGAGTCTCTGCTCCAAATGGTTAATTAATTATCAGAATAGATTATATTGTTTCCTTAAACAGCGTTAACCAGTTGATCTTTGTAATGGTGAGGCGTTGTGTTTTCTTCGCGGTACGGACTGAATTATTAAATATTATTTGAACGAGTCTCTGCTCCAAATGGTTAATTAATTATCAGAATAAATTATATTATTTCCTTAAACAGCGTTAACCAGTTGATCTTTGTAATGGTGAGGCGTTGTGTTTTCTTCGCGGTACGGACTGCATTCTTAAATGTTATTTAAACGAGTCTCTGCTCCAAATGGTTAATTAATTATCAGAATAAATTATATTATTTCCTTAAACAGCGTTAACCAGTTGATCTTTGTAATGGTGAGGCGTTTATGAGAAAATTTTCGAGCCATTTTCAAATTCACTGCCGCTTGCGCTCGCGGTGACGGAATTCGGTACTACAGCACAACGTGAGTTAAACTTGATTTGTTTTGCTACAAAATGACACCTCAACCGATTCTGTAAGCCTTCTGAATAAATTTCTATACACTTTCAAAGTTGTAAAGTCCTTTTTGAATCATCCTGTATATATAATTTCCTTAAACAGCGTTAACCAGTTGATCTTTGTAATGGTGAAGTGTAGTGTTTTCTTCGCGGTACGGACTAATATCATTTGGATGTGATTCACGTATGTAACTCAGTCTTTGTGAAAACTGCAGTCCGCCACGTAAGACGTTGAAAGTGAACCCCGGTGTGACCGGGTCAGTAACGGGATGCAGCTTCGCCGTTTTTGGAGGTGTGTAGGTAGAGGATTCTACTATAGTTTCTCAGAAGGTGCGTTGGTGTACATTAGGTCTGTGTTCTGTGGACGTACGAAGAGCGTTCACTGATGAAGTTGAACGCTGATTCCGTCTGTAACTGCACGACTCACAAGCTGGGACCCGGAACGGACAAAACATGACGTCTAATATTTCGGGGTTTTTTTTTATGGTGCAGTGGGAGAGTTATTCTAAGAGTTAAAACCAAGGACAAGTGACCGGCTGTTTTCGATGCGATGTGTGACTCATTTCCTGTTCGTTGCGTTGAAACAAGATCGATCTCTGTTTGGAAAAGAAATGTAGCCCACGTCAGCAGAGTCCGAAGGCTCCACACAAACACACAAAGACGCAGAATTCTGCTAATTTCAACGGCCATCCGCTCCATATTGAAACTGTATCCCGTCTGAACGGATAAGGCAAACCCATAGGTTATCCACGTCGCCATATTTGTGTCCTTCAACACAAGAACAACCTTAAATGAGACGGAGACGACCGTCTGCTGAGATTTTGCGCCGTGCAGCCTGGTAGACGTTTACCGACGTTTCGGAGGTCCTTGCTGCCTCCATCATCAGGGCTACACGGCGCAAATAACAGAAAAATAATCTTCATAGTCGCCGATTTGAGAATTTTAAAACGAATTTGACGTTGCTATTGTAACGTTCTACTTTGGATAGATTTGTTTGGGTTTACTCTTACTGATGTTGGTAGCGTGGCTTGGGATGGAGCAAGGCGAGTTCACAAGGATGCTGATGTCAGCTTAAACATGCTCAGCTGATATGAGGCTACAGCTTGTTCCCTAAGACGATCACATTTATTTCTAACACTAAGTACTACAGAAATTGTACATTTGTATTAAAACATTACCTTCCTAATTCAGGCTAGTTCACTTTATCATTAGTACACTCTAATTACGTAATTTTGAATATTTATTAATCCACCCTTAGACAGTGGTCTAGCGATTAGAACGCTGGCCTTGTAATCCTGGGGTCTCGGGTTCGATGCCCGAATTTATAACTTGTGTTGGGCAAGGCCGTGGTCTAGGCAACACGGAGTTTTCCTCCGTGGCATCCCAACAATTACTCCATTCACACACAGAAGAAGGCAATGCCAAACCACTTCTGGATCATCTGCCAAGAACATATATGAACAGGTCCCAGTCCGAGAAAAAGATGGAAGGATCCT